CCACTTTTTATTGAACTGCTGTAGAAGTTCTCACATAGAAGTCAGATTTTCATATTCTGTCAAAAGTCACAATAAAACTTTCGGGTGTCTATGTCTGTCTTACATTTTCATAGAAATGTAATTAGTCTGCGAAATATGAATCTATGAAGGAGTATTTGACTATGAATATAACTATATTAACTCTAATGTTAATAAGCGCAACTGTTGCAGCCGAACTACATACACTACGTATAACTTCGGTTGTCATATAAGATGTTTCCAATTGTTTCAGAGATATCTACGGAAGTATTTATTGTGACTTTTGACAGAATATGAAAATCTGACTTCTATGTGAGAACTTCTACAGCAGTTCAATAAAAAGTGGCTACCTAATCCACCTAATTTATCAAGAGAAACGTTTACACACACAGGGATCGTCTGACTGAATTTTTTTCTTGTCTTGACAAAGCAGCTACGATTAGGTGTTCTGTCCAAGTGTAGCAAAGCGGAATATTTCTTTTATTCAGACTTCTACTGCAAAGTAAAACTGGGAGAAATCTGTTCAGTAAAATAATGTTCAAGTTTTGCACTGTCGTTGAGAAACGTTTGATGTATTTATTTCTGAGAGATGCCGAAACCAAAACGTTAGTTTTAGTACAGTTTCCCGAGAAGCCAATTATCTTTTGATAGAATAAAAGTTAAAACTTGTGACAGCTCTGATTTGGGTATCTCTGATGAATGCATAAGGAATATGGGTACAGGCTTTCTCTTTCTCTTTCTCTAAACCTAGAATCACATCTATCCTAAGAAAGCAACAGCTATGTGCTTGCTACTTTGATTTAATTCGTCCCATTTTCACCTAGTCATATCCATATGTTCTGATAATGTTGACTTGTAATCCACATTGACTTACAATGTATCTACATGAGCAAAACTTTTCTATTAATTCTTGTTTTTTTACTATTCAAATCTTCCGTTTTTTCTTCAGCAAAAATTCCCTTTTCTCAGATGCATGCACTTGCATTGTTTATCGCTATAACCGTCATAGATCAGATAAACCATTTTGAATATTGTAACAGACAATTTGCGACTACTCGTAACGAATTTTTATTGGCAACTATACAAAATCAAAGATGTTCATAAAAATACTCATTCAAATATTCGATCTTTTAATCAGAAAAAAGATTTACCATTGCTTGACGATCTACACTCGAAGCCAGTAGTGACAAAAGAAAAGAGAACTAGACTGAACTATCAGTAAAGTATTGTGTCAATGAGAAACAAGCAATCCACATTTTTAGCTTGTGTCATGAAAAAGTTTTGAATAAATTGAAAGTATCTCGCTGATATTAATATCACCTGCCGCTGATCGTCCTTTTCTTTTCCTGTTGATCCTCTCTCTCTATTGATTTTTTGTGTTCATCCCTATCTTACTCTCTCCTACATAAACATGCATTGCATATGAACTAGTTCAATGAGCATCATTACCAAGGTTGGCAGTAGGGTACTACTTCAGTTTATCGTGGCCAATATAAGAAAAGGAGCCACTAGGTATGTAGTAAAAGCAATTAAAAAAAGTATTGCATGACTACTCAAAGCATAGAAAAAACAATCTAGCCGAGTTATTATTTCACTTTTATGCTATTTATAACTCTTCCATCCTGTTCATCGTTTTTTTTTGAAAAGATTTGCCATCCGCTTCACTTAAAAACTGTATCTGAAAGAAAGATATTACTAGATCACTGATACCGGGAGACTCCAATATGATCCTCTTGCAAAGTCTGTTTTGCTGAACAGTTCAGTCTTTGTTTTTAGCTTTTCACAAATATATTAGCATGATAGCGTACGTTTACGAGTGGAAGTAAGTGCCCCGTTTTCAGAGTGCGCAGCGAAATTTTTGTTTGAACGAAATATTTTCACGTAAACATTGCTGAATTAAAACTGAGCCGAAAGAATATATGACTTTGCTTATTTTATGTACTTTACCTAAATAGAGAGATCTATTCGAAACGTGTCATTTCTACTTCATAAATTCTTCAGTTTTTTTCAATTTGAAGAAAACTGTGCTGCAAAGATTCCTTGTCGGTTAACTTAAACGAAGATTTCTCAAAGCTCCAATCTAGCTCATTGGAAATCATGGCTTTTGCAAATTTTGAGAAATTATTCATCTATGTCACAGATATTGCTGTAAACATTTTATAAAGGCAGACTTAAAATAGATCTTTGGAAGCACTACAAAACTGTAATTTGTTTTTACATTAGTTCATAATTCCAACAAATAGATCACAAACGATTGATTTATATGTGTAGAAGCTTGACATTTTCAAGCCTTGCATTTTTATTTATCTCCTTTTTCTCCTCAAGATTCTATAGCGAATTTGATGATGAACATTTTAACGAACATATAAAAACTTGTTCATGAACCCTTACTTTAATATTAAGAATATGGGCAGCAGAAAATCTATCATGGGATACTCTTCATCTTTTCACTTTGATATCACATTAGATGTTTTGTCTACATACTACCAGATTTGTTTTTCATATAGACGAATTTTATTCTAAATACAAGTAAAAATATTCATTTAACTCATTTTTTCTCTCTAGAAAAAAGCAAATTATCAAGACAGTTACAATTCATTGGCAAAAACTTTCGATTACAAGCATAGAAATATGAATGGGTCAAATGCATTCAAGTAAAGACATGTCAGCAATGCTGAAAATAGTGTTAATTGGATAGAAAATCTCGTGGTCTTGTAAACCCGCTCAATTAATGTTGTTTAGATGGCCTTTTAAGTTAAGAAGGCACGCTGCAAACATAAGCAGATGCTTTCAAACGGAAATGAAAATTGTTTTTTCTTTGCAAAAATTGATGTTAAAGGCGTATTTTGTATAAACTGTGTTCATTGGTAGTGAACTACTATAAATCGACACCAATCCGTTTCATAAAAATTCCCATGAATCAACTATTTATAGATGTTCTTACACTTCTAAGATAGCAAAAACAACGCAAAACAATAATTAAAGTACTATAATAGTTTGTATTCTAGATAGTTTACACACAACCATTGCAGTGAGTGTGTCAAAGAAAAAGAAAATCTCTGAAAGATAGTTATATTAAGCATTCATCTTCAATGGTTGACGCTGAGATACTGGTCGATTGGATACATGCATAATTAAAATCAATCATATATGCTCGGTTCCACCGGTAACGTGACAATTTTTCCAAAGATGCTTTGGTGCATGCGTAATTTCTTCATCTCAAGCAAACGAAGTTAATAATCAGCGGCAAGAGTCACACATTCACTTTTCTAGTGAAACAAATAATGTCGTCATCATCAACAGCTCAATTAATTATTAATATATCCGAACATTGCATGATCGGTTTTGGCCTTTTTATCTTATTGATGGGGCTGATTGGTAACACACTAAATATTATTGTATTAAACAATCTTCGACTCTTTCGAGGAAATCCATCTGTTTTTTTCTTCACTTTCGAGTCCATTTGTAACTTAGCTCAACTTCTTATAAATTATCCAACACGAATTATGATGGATGGATTTGCTGTGAATTATACGGATATGTCACTTATTTGGTGTAAGATGAGGGCATTTATCGTTTCAATTCTTACCCTCGTGCCTATGTTTACAGTTTGTTGTGCATCGTTTGATCAATTTCTTTCAACACATAATCAAGCAAATTTCAGACAAAGAAGTACACTCGTTCTGGCTAAATATCTTACATTTTCCATTGTTTTCATTGTCATTCTGCATGGTATTCCATTTCTTTTTCTCTTTGATCTACCGCCTTCAAATATCTGTGCGACATATAATGCTATATTTAGTCGATACTATTCATCTGTGTATTACCCAGTCATGCAGGGTGCGTTGCCGATGTTTGTGGCATCTCTATTCAGTATTTTAGCTTTTCGAAATGTTCGCCGAATAGTTCGACGACGAATTCGAATTGTTCGTCGTCGACTCGATCGACAGCTCACAGCTATGGTTCTTTCTCGCGCAGCTTGTCTTGTGGTTCTCATTCTACCATTTACTGCGTATCGAATATACATACTTAATATTACTGTTCAGCCAGATCAATTAGTTTTATCGGCTATTAATAATAATCTACTTGAAGTAGTCACGGTTACAATTTTCTACATTAACTACTCAGTAAGTCATTATTGGTTTCCTTCTCAATGATGTTGTATTCATATTTTGTTAGGCAAACTTTTATATTTTCGTGGCGACATCGTCACGTTATCGGCGTCAAGTAATGCAGGTCCTAGTGAAAAAAATTTGGTTTACATTCAAATACCAGCTTCGTTTCCGATTGAGATGTGGAAATGAGAATCGCATTGCGCCTGAAGAAATTCAAAATTATGATGCTTCTATTGAACTAGAGTGAGCTTGCGTTGATTGTACAATTTGTAAATAGAATTATCTTTGTTCAATTTTTCTTGATTATCAAAAATAAAGGAAAGAAAATGAGCTATCCAATGCACATAGAAATTGAGTCATGATGAGTCAGTTTTAACCGTTTAAGAAGTTTGTCGAAGTTGATATTGGTCCGTGGCAAAAGGTCAAGAGTGTGACATTTTACAATGTTTACCACCAAGTTCTGTAATAAACGCTTAAATCTTATTGTACACGGATAAAAAATAAATTTCGTTGCTTCACGATTTTAAATTCATTCAAATAGAAGCCGGTAGTTGAAGTCCGATAACTCGAGGTCACAACATTTACTCGTGTACATTGTTGTTTCCGTCACACGAATGTCAAACAATTTGAGCGACTAATTGATATGCCTCGTTATATTACTCAATGTAACATTCATAGTGATTATACTTCATAGAGCTTATTGATATTTTTCTTTGACAATGTGTCATATAAAAACATTTACGCGAAAAATCAGCATATTCCTGATTATAATCGATTCAAACCACAAATAATTGATGAAAATCTAGTAATTATGATTTTTCTTTTGATTAAATTGATGATTTTAATCGATTTTTCAATGTGAATTACGAATAAATGATTTTTCATCAATTATAATCGATTTTTTTGTCATTTTAATGCCATAAAATCGATTAAAGCGACTATAATCGATTGTCTATGATCTTTTATTAAACGATTCGAGTGAATTTTGAGTAATAATCGATTTTCATCAGCATTTTATTATTTTTTCCTCGATTGAAATTCACACAAATCGATTCAAATCTCGAATCGATTATAATCATGGAGATTAGATTCGTTTAAAATAGATTCCTACTACTAATAAATTGATACATAGGAAAAAAACAAGATTGTTAACCAGAGATGGGCAAGTCAAGTCAAGTCAGACTTGACTTGACTTGACTTGATGATTTTATTGAATGGATTATGACTTGACTTGACTTGCCTTGGCTTGCCTTGGCTTGACTTGATTCAAGTCAGTGATGGGTCATGACTTGACTTGAAAATTTTCAGAATGACTTGACTTGACTAGCAACAAGTCGTACAGAGAAATTCAAGTCAAGTCAAAAATTATATGTATAGAGAACTTTTATTAATTGAATTTTTGAACTCTAATTTGAAATGTAGAAGAAAAATACAAATAATAAACCAAAGATGGGCAAGTCAAGTCAAAAAATGACTTCACCTGATGATTTTTTGAATGAATTATGACTCAAATTGACTTGACTTGAAATCAGACTTGACTTGACTTGACTTGAGTCAAAAAAACGCTGACTTGCCCATCTCTGTTGTTAACCAATAAAATTCAACAAAAAAAATAGGAAAGTTGCCTGAATCAAATACTTTTGCACTAAAACTTTTGCTAAATGCTGAGTGAAATATTTGTTTCACTAATATATAGATATCAGCAACATACATGGAGAGCATGTAAAAATTTATTGTGCAAATAACACTGAAACTCGTGCTTCTATTCTACAAATATTGGTGATTACACATCTCTAACAAACAGTTTGCGTTGCAGCCTATTTTAAATACAATATGAAAGCAGTTTCTAAATTGTATTTCTGATCAATAGCTGATCCAACCAGGGACAAAGCGAGCATACAACATATACACATTCGATTGCGTAAGATAAAAGACAATTGATTTTATACAGAAGAATACAGATTGCGATAATGAACATAATTCATTGCACAAATCTCCATAATCCTGAGCTATAATATGAGTTTCCTTTTAATATAAAGCTCAGTTGGTTTCTCGTTATTTCTTCCTTTCGCTTCAAAAAAGAATACTAAAGATAAGTTTTGTTTTCAAACCAAATTATGTTTTTGTTTTGTTCCATTTATTCAAATGGAATATATTCAGACCTGATTTTCGTCTTGATGGCGATTGTTTCGATTGACTTGTTTCTTTGTCTCGGAGAAGAGTACTACCAGTTCGTTTAGCAAATAATAAGGCAGCAGAAGTATGCTTCGATGCGTAGGTAAAAATGCTGAATAATGTAATTTAGAGAATACTGATGCAATCTTGAGAAAATGCTTTCTGGAAAGTAAAAATAACTTTACTATTTCTCGTTGTAAATCAGCGTTACTGGAAGTCATTGATGGGATGTTGTTATGTGTCTGATATAGATTTCAAACCATTGCAGCTAGTCTGAATCACCTGTTTGTTGTTTTGTGATTAATTAGAAACAGAAAAATTCAACTGAAATTTGTTGTAATCGGTGGTATTGGGAAACAACCGTTGCCTCGATTATAACCGATTTTAGCTAATTAAAATCGATTCTGAATCAACTAAACATCGATTATAATCATGCACCTTTTAATCGATTAATAATTAATTAGCAATTGATTACAATCAGTCTTAATCGATAATAATCGATTGGTACAGCGGAATAACTGTATTTTTCGATTATAATCCATCGCAGCTAATTATAATCGATTTTCAGTCGAATATAAATCGATTAAAAGGTGTATGATTATAATCGATTTTTAATCAAAACGGTAATCGATTTTAATCTGATTTTACCCCTGTTTTTCACACGGGGTTTGTGATCGTAAATGTATGCTCGAATTTCCGTTTATATTTTCGATAATTGACTGTGGCTATTGAGAAATAGCCGGAGCCATTACAGCAAAATCTATCAGTGCCGTTTACATGTGACTAAACTAGAGAACTTAAATTGCTATCTCATAACTGCATTGAGAAAAAAGTTATGGACTTTTAGCTCATATTCGACTTTGCAAATTTTATTTTGGCTTTATAATTTTCAGTATTTTTAACGGAAGAACTTCAAAACAAAAATCCATAAAGTCTATAAATCTAAACTTCATGTTTCTCTGTTCATGTTAACAAAGAGAAATGATAGAGAGAAAATGCGATAAGAAAAGTCACAGTAGTTGATGTGCTTTTGATGGAATAAGTACTATTGAACAGAATTATTTCTCTGATTTTCTTAGACGAGCGAGTGAGTGAAATGAACACTGTTGTATTCAGACAACCTCGTAATTTAAAATACTTTCCTAAAAGAATATAGTCCTTCGAAAACTATGAGAAATTTGCAGAACTCTTTCGTCTATACTATTCTGACAAATGAGACTAGTTTCTGAATAATAGATATAATAATGAGTTGAACTCATTGGCGGGACAACGTCTCATATGGAGGTGTGGCAATAAAAAATGGTGTCAATTTTTTTTAACAGAAAGTCATGTTTTTACTGTAATGTATGTATACATATACGGATACATATACGACTGATCATTTTTCAGATGCGACCAGTGGCGACTCAGCCCAGCCCCCACGGGTGTCACTAGCATCCAAAAATTGTGGGCGTGTAGGTAACCTATAAAATTGTACTGCAGATAACTGTTGCTAGATCTTCCGGATTTTTGAGGATTTTGAAACTTTTTCTGGATTTATTTCCGATTTTTTGAGGATTTTGTGAGTTTTTTCTCGACTTTTTTTGAATTTTCGACTTTGATTCAGGCAACACTGGCTGAACGTTAAATTGCAAACAAGAATACATATTAATATACAAAGTACATTTTGTAAAAGCTCGCTATAGGGCTGAGTCCTCCCTGGCTTCGTCACTGGGTGTGGCAATTGCCACCAATTGCCTCGTGGTGGCCCGCCAATGGTTGAACTATCATTTCATGCTGAAACATCAATAACTACTTTAATGTTATATTCAAAAACCAACACACAGTCCAAGAAACCTATGTTTTATTATTATTTTTCTACCAAGGAGAGCACTTGTCTTCATTCGACCAGGTCTGTCTAAAAAAAATCGTGTTAAATAACTTTATAGCCAGCCAATACTTATCGTATAAAATTTCATCATTAAATAGTCTTTAATAAAAAAATAGCCAAGTATGAAATACATTTGTTCGTCTTAGTTTCTTTGAACTGCGCGCCTTATCAGATTTAATGAAAAGAATGCAGACTTGAAAATTTCGCCCAACAAACAGATGATAAGTAGAGCTGGACCATTTTATTTAACGCGAGTTAAAACCGTTAACCGTTAATATCAACAGTTAACGGTTTTGTTCAAAGCGTTAATTCGTTAATAACGGATGGGCCATAATAAATTGCACTAAATGCTTTTCGTTTTTTCGGCCATTTCCCGTCCAGGAAATATATTCATTTTTATATTAAAAGATAGCGAATTCCAAGCTCTACAAAACTGTCTACTTTGTTTTTCAAATGCATTTTCTTGTCAACGCCTAATAAAAAAAAGAGTGACATCTTCTTAATCGTCCAACTGCGATTTGCTATTTTCTGCTGACATCGATCGATCAATGGAAAGTTTTGCGCATTAAGACCGATGCTAAATATAAAGTATTTAACACTTATAAATAGAGAATTTTGTGGTCTATTCTTCCATGACTTTTTCAATGTTCCTAGTGCAGTTGCTCAGGAGAACAAAGCTCGGAACTGATACCTACCATTATTTTTTTGGGGTGTACTTTGGAGAGTCATGTTGTTAAAAGCCAAATTTACTCTATGAAAGATTTATAATTATGCCATCGGGTGTAGAATTCAATTCTGAACAAAATGGTGTAGTTGTTAAATTGCAGTGTGGAAAAACTTACATTATTTCGAACTAAAAAAAGAACCATGACCCAAGTGCATCAGAAAACAGCTTTTTCGTTATTTTCAAGTATTTTCATTCGAATCTGTTTCTCTCAAATATTTTCTCTAAAATTCAGAAACATAAAATCAAAGATGCAGAATTTTATGGAGATTTTTGTGGCATAGTTTAAATTTTAGCTGGATCAATATTTAAAAAAATTGCATCATCTTTTTCGGTTTTTTATCGTTATTAACGATTAACGGTTGTAGTTAACGTTAATTTTAAATTAACGTAAACGTACCATCCCTAATGATAAGAGACTTTTGAGCAAAAATTGATGCGCTGTGGATTGCTACACTTGTTACCGCGAAAGAAATGAAAATCATCTAAGTTCTTATGAGATGAAAATATTTTTTTTATTCTGTATCTAATAAATGATTTACCATTGGTTGAACATGAAAACGAAAAACTCAATCGAATCAATTCAATATTTGTTTTTTGTGAAACTGTTCAAGAAATTCGATAATATGTACTTAGAACTGTTACGAGAATTGATCTGTACTAATTATTGTTTCTTAGAACAAAATTTTCTCTTCGAATTCATTCAATTTCTGTTCATAATTAAGCCATTTTGCCAACGCCATTAAAGTTTCTTTTGCATAGGTACAAGCGAACCATTCAGAAGGAACAATCTGATAATAGAGTGCACCACTAACTTGAAGATAGAGTGTAGCAAGAATCGTTTGATTTGAGTCATACGGATTAAGCCATTTACTTTCTTGTTCTATCGATTTATTGAAGGCAAGCGCCTGTTGCACACCCTGCTGAATATCATTATTATCCATTCGTAGAATATCAATGAGCTTGATCAAGACAACACTCATTGAATGTGATCGATCGAGCGGAATTTGCATTGACTGTAGTATTTTTTCTTTAGCATGACCGTTGAGAGCGTTCACAAGTAGTTCGATATAGATTACAAAATTTTCAATCGATATCTCTTGACCAAACATTGCTCGAACACAATGGGTGATTACTTCAATACGAACCGAAGGTGAATGATTCGAATAGAAATAAGCAATGGGCGAAATGCGTAGAAGAGCAGCAACTGGAGGAGACGGTGGAGTTGTGTAAATGTTCTCATCGGTAATTACTGCAAAGCATTCAGCAGCTAGATTTATACTCATCTGTTCAATGGTCTGTTTGATATGTATACTTGGAGTGAAACAGACACCAGTGGGTGACATGAATCTAAAATTGTTCGATGGGATTTTTATTTTTAAATATTCAATCTAGTAAAAAGCAACAATATTCTTACCCGTTCATCCACCAGTTAATATACTGTTGATTCAGATCGTCTTGTGAATAACCACCGCACTGAATCAAACTGACGATAAAGCATAAAGTAAGAGAAACATCATCGGACCACGCTAAACATAAATTAGTTCGATGAGAACATTCACGTTCTAGTTCAATATGATCGAGAATATAGGTCTCAATTGAATGATTGCTCAGCTTTTCTCCCAAAGTAAAGCAAACTATGGATGCAATAAGACGATCACAGTTACGAACATCTGGAGGATCTACAGGTGACATTTGAGCCGGAACTACTGTTGGATCAATCATCCAATCTTTACTCAAATCATTGAACAACATCAGTCTTTTTATCAAGAAACCTTGCGTTCTATTCAGTAACAAAAAAACGAACAAACTGTGCTTGTTATGAATAGTCTGTGATAAAATACAACAGTGCTGCTTTTTCTTCTTATTATTTTTGTGTAATCGCTTTTACAATGATCTTTGTGATGTTTATCTGTTTTACTAAATTATATTCTAATAGAAAAAAAAAATGTCGAACCAGTAAGCTATCGAAAAACAAATTCTGTTGAAAATGTCGAAAAGAGAAAAATGTCAAAAGGAAAAAATATCAAAAGAGAAAATGTTTAAGGGCAAATATATATCAATATGAAAATATAGAAGGGTAAATATGCTGACTTATTGAAATGTTGAAACTTGATTAATTTTACTTCTATTGATTAGAAAATATTCAATCAATGTACCTTGTTTGTAAAACTTCCATTCTTCATAACAAAAATTGTGAAGCAGATAAAATTTAACATAAGGAAGTAAACTTAATGTGCAACTATTTTTGACACATAGATATTTCTCATATCAATTTTATTTCTTGTTCTAACAACAATCGACAAGGTCTCGTATTAAGGATGACAACGTCACGACATTTAGCCTATAGATTACTAATACTTTTTTTTGTATAGCTAAATGTTATCCATGGATCCTTTTAAGCATCGATTGAACATCGAATCACAGTTGATTGATATCTTTTTCTTTTTTCTTGCATAAATTTTGTAAGCTTTCGTATATTATAATGGTTATGTTGACTAGTAATTACCGAAAACACTGGTAATATCTATATATTCGAGTGATCTTACGAGTAGAGTTGTCTTCTTTGTTCGCTAATAGATCTAGATTTTCAGAAGTCTTCTGATGTTGATACTTCAGTATTTACTTAAATTACATAGAAATTAGCTCATGCTAGTTTGGGGATTTGTAGAAGTCTCTCGGAAATCAAAGATGAGAACAGAACAATGTTTTCTATCGTATCATGTCCTGCCACCTGACAGTACAGAACAAACATGAGATTTTATTTTTATGAAGAGCATCATATATCAAATGTTCCGATCATCTTGTAATCGATTTATTTCATCATTTTATAAATATCACAAGGCTATTTTTAAATAGTATATGTTACTGAGTAAATATAAAAACGAACATAACATGCTAGTTCTCTAGTAACTGCATTCCACCAAGATGATGATGCCTTTTGTCGATTGACTTCTAATAACTATATAATTTTTATTGTTTAAATGGAGTAAAAGTTTGATTTATTCTGAATCGTGAAGAACTTCATCTACTGCATTAATTTCAATTACATCGATACATAATTCCAGGGAGAATCTGTCCAATTGAATCCTATCGAATCCCAAGAAGCTCAACATGATGCGACTAGTGAAGTTAAAATGAATGAGAAATAAAAATGAGCGAAAAATAGATTTCGACAATTTGTTTTTTTAAATATGATTCTAAACACAATATTTGTTTACTTTTGATTAGGGATGTAAATTTATTGTTATTGTTATTAATAACAAATAAATAACAAATAACTTTTTTTTCAAAAAGGTTCTGTCTCAGCTCGCTGAATATTTTAATTGTATCCGTTATATGATCTTATACTACAGAACAAATTTTTAACTTCAATAGTGCTAATTCGCATCGTATAACCAATATAGACAATGAACTGAGTTTTCAGAAAAAAAAGTTATTTGTTATTTATCTGTTACTTATAACAACAAGATAACAATAACTTCTCACCCCTACTTTTGATTAAAATAAAATGCAATTTATTGTGGATGATAATTTAGATGTTATTGTTCAAATATATATTTGGATAGTTTGACTATCTTTATATATTGTAAGCATAGAAAACAATTCAAATAAAATCTTGTGTTTTTTCCATCTCTCCTCAAATCCAAATAAATTTTATCTTAATTATAAAAAATAGATTGAACAAACTATAATTGCATGTTAACTGTTTTTTTAAACCTTTAAATAAAATAAAGATATTCTTGTGGTTGAATATATTTATACTCATCTTCAACACTATTATATTCTCGTTTATTGATTATAATTATATCTTACCTTTCATAAAATTAAACACATTAATTACACTATTATATTAAATAAATGCCCACCCAAGTCGAGGTTTACGGAGTCCATATACGATTTAAACGGTCATATACGCTCCGTTTGTCCCCATCTACGATCGTAATACTGAGACATGTATTTCTCCGTATACGATCGTCAACGACCGTGTTTGTTCAACCTGCAGGTCGAGTGTTGCCTATTCCGTATACCATCGTATTTCAGCGTATTACATGGTCCAGCATTACGGTCGTACGCTTAAAAACAAGGTGTCACACGGAACACAAAAAGGTTGCGATTTTCGAAACGAAATCGAAACTCTCCTAGGTTTCGTAGAAAGTAGGTTTCGTAAAAGGCAATAATTTTATCCCTAATAAAAAAGGGCTTCGCTCTTCACGTTCCATAAAATACTCTACGCACTATTGGAGAAAGGTTTTGCTGAATAGTATACTCTAGTATTCAAGCAGTTTTTGCACCACTATTCAATGCAAGACCTTTTATCTATTTTTACTGTGCTCAGAAAATCCCTATCTTCCCCAAAATGCGGACAGCACCTTAAAATATGGCTGTATTTTCATATTTTCGTTGCTAAATATTCATCTTCAAACAGAATGGTTATGATATTCAGAACCAGCTTAAAAAACTGTATCAAATCAATGGTGTTTTATCAAGAACTATTACAGCTCAAAATCAGACCCGTAAGGGTACCACACGAAGAATTTGAATAATAAATAGCTGAGGAGGGTGTGACGACAGCAACGTCACTGATCTTGTCTTGATGTTTGTTATATCATGTATGTTTATTTCTCCTCTGTGTTGTTCTCTCTTGTTGCTTGTTGGCGCGCTTGTTATTTTCAACATTGGCACCTTTTTTGTTTTTTCGCGCTTAGACTCAGAGAAATGAGATATATAATCATTCTCTTTTTTCTCCTCAAGTTTCTTAGAAGCTTCTTGATATATCTCTCTTCACTAAGATATACTAATTCTTCTTTTTCTTCTCTAACTACTACTTTTCTTCTGATCCCAAGACGAACATTACAGTGGCCGTAAACAGCCGTGCACGATACCGTAAACGGCCGTAACCGTCAGAGTTACGACCGTATACGGGCCGTAAATGACCCGTTTTGTATGCCCGTATTACGGCCGTAACCCACCGTGACGTAAACGGTGAAACCCAACTACCGTAAACGTTAAAAACAGTGCCATGACAGGGTCGTATTTTGAAAGAAACGACAGTTTACGACAACGAGAATCGCCGTATCTTAACATATACAGCCGTTTACGACCACCACGACTACCCTACATCAAAGTAAACGGCCGTTTTCCATTCGTTATTCTCGATGATTTCACCTGCAAATCAAACAGATTTCATTCGGATTTCAAAAACATTTTATTCAGATTTCAAACGATTTCCTCTAGATTTCATTTAGATTTCGAAAAGATTTCATTTGGATTTCAAAAAGATTTCAAAAACATTTTATTCAGATTTCAAAAAGATTTCGATTAGATTTGAAAAGGATTTCGTTTAGATTTCAAAAAGATTTCATTTGGATTACAAAAAGATTTCATTTGGATTTGAAATGGATTTCAATCAGATTTCAAAAAGATTTTATTCAGATTTCAAAAAGATGTCAAAACGATTCCACTTGGATCAGAGAAAGATTACATTTCTGGGTCAAAAACACATTACCTTTTGACCTGAAAATCAAGCGGTTTCTGAGAGAGTCGAAATTCGCTGAAACATAACAAGGGATTTAAGGGAAACCCGGAAAACAAACTGAATCGTGGACATGTTACTTGACTTGAATGGGGAAAGTGGTCAAACGAAGATTCGACGACAAGAAATCGAAGATAAATCTGGTTTCGCATCTTTAATCTATCCCTGAACTCACTAACTAAAGGGAACAAAAATCTGCCTATATATAGAAGTTCTCGAGCGAAACAAAAAGGTGAATCATTGCGCGACACGAAATCCAAGATAAATCTGATTTCAGATTTTGGATTTTAAATCTATCCCTGAACTCAATAACTAAAGCGAACAAAAATCTACGTATATATAGAAGTTCTCGAGCGAAACAAAAAGGTGAATGATTGTGCGACACGAAATCCAAGATAAATCTGATTTCAGATTTCGCATTTTAAATCTATCCCTGAATTCAATAACCACAAACGAAATATATCTTGAGGGCGTGGGTATGGGTGTGGGAATCCGAATGTGGATTAACGGAAAATAACAGTTATACCCAGATTCACGCACACCCACTCCCACACCCACACGCTCAAAGTTATGAATATCACTAGAAATCATGAGAAATCAGTAGAAATAATTAGAAATGATCAAAAATCATCCGGATTTTGTGGGAATCGACAGAAGGTTTAAGATATCAAAGAAATCATGTGAAATCAGGCTAATTTACTTGAAATCTTTCAGATCGTTTGAAATGATTTCGAATGGTTTTTAGCTATTTCAAATAATCCTTTTTGTTTTCTGATGATTTCCATGATTTGCAATGATTGCCAATGATATCCATGATTTTTACGGATTTCGATGATTTCGGCCGATTTGATGCGATTTCGATTGATTTCGCCTATTGAAATCAGTTTGTTTCCGCGTGTTATCGCACATTCTGAATGTCGTTTACAGTCACTGTATTTTCACGGTAGTTGTTAAAGTCGAACGTTTACGTTCACTGTTTACCATTAACGTAATACCTCGTAAAACATCGTATATGACAGGCGTCTACAGTCGCCGTATTTTCACGGTAGTCGTAAAAGGCGAACGTTTACGGCCATTGATTACGATTATCGTAATACACCGTAAAACGTTGTATATGTCTGTCGTAAACGGCCACTGTAAGTAGCTATCGTTTACGATATTTCACGGCATAATCCGAGCATCGTTTACTTTCTCCGTATTTTTACGGTAGTCTTAAAAG